ACTTGAGGTGGATGGAATAAAGAATAAAGTATTGACAAGTGTTAAAGGTTTAGTTAATTCAAAACTACACTTCTTCATCATTTACTCACCCTCATGTTGTTCCAAGACTGTGAATGGGGACTGGAGCATTTACGCTTTAAGGATGGAAAAGCACCATAAAAGGATCACAAATTTGGTTTGAGTGGACTGTGAAATAATCATTTTGTGAACTGGATTAACCTATTCAATAGAAATATCCAATTCAAATACATGATTCATTTACAAAACCAAGTGTTATTATCATTAAAACTAAAACTATTAAAAACATTTTTGTTAACTGAAACAAAGCTGAAATAAAATGTAAATATTAGATAAATTAGAAATGCCTTGGAAACTGAAATGAGTAAAAGCAACAAATAAACTGAAACAAAACTGAAATCAATATATTAAACCTAAATAGTAATATTTAAAAAGCATGACAAAAAATTAAAAGCACAGAACTAAATATTACGCTAAAATTAAAACTGAAACTGTAAAAATTAAACCTTTTTTTTTTAAGTATGCATCACTTTTATCATACGTTTACTTTTGGAAGCTTCAGTCCCCATACATTGTAACTGCATGAACAAAGAGTGAATTTCTCCTTTTTGTATTCATCTGAAAGAGGAAAGTCACAAAGATTTTAAATAGCATGAGGGTGAGTAAATAATAGAATATTTTATGAACTATCCCCTCCAGTTTGCACTATATGATAAACAGATCAGAAAAAAGGAAAATGGTATAAAAAATAATACTGAAACCCAAGGACACAGGATACGATTGAGAGAGAAATTAGAAGGGAAGGGGGAAGTACAGGAGCAGGGACAAACCTTCCGCTGGAGTGTGACCAGAGGACAGTGTGGAGAGAGGAAGTCAACTGGTGCTGTCTCTGACTTACACACACTGGCTTTCAGCAAGACCAAACCAAACAAGAGAGAAACAACAGAAACATGACCATCGGCCCAGCGTCCTACACACCAACAGGGTTGGTTTGTGGGTGTTTTTATGATCGTTGATATACAAATTAAAAGTTAGCATGCCACTTTCAAGTTCTAGATGAAATCTGGGGTGCAGATACATGCCATTTCATGAGCTTCTGCAGTATGTACTGGCTTTAGCAAACATGCTGTAATATCTTGAAGTGCATTTATGTACATTTAACAATCATAATCAGTTTAAAATGCTAAACCAATCTGAAAATTAGTAATGAAGCTCGTAATGAACATGTTCCCAGACCATAAAAAAATATTTGCTGATCAGTCTGTTAACCGAAGCATAATGATCAATTGCTACCAAGTGAAGATCTGTTTCATGGACCCTAGCTAAATATATATTGGCCTAGCTAAAGTATGTCTCATTCATTTTATTACCTTACTGACAATAAATAATCATAAAAGGATGACTCAAATCTGTGGAGTATCAGGCTTTAAATCAGGGGTTCTCAATCATCTTTGGGTTGCAACCCTTTTTTTTTTTTTGGTTTCATTTTAAAACATATTCAAACAGAAAAGCGTTCTTTTAACTTGTAATAATATTTCACAATATTAGAGTTTTTACAGTATTTTTAAGAGACTTCTTATAAAAGGAAAACAAATTACAAAAATATATATTAGATTAGATTAGATCAGAGATGCACCAATATGACATTTTCTTAGCCGATACCGATAGCCGATTATTCAGAATGATATCTGCCGATACCAATGCCGATACCGATAGTTTAGTTTTCTTAAGGGAAAAAAAATCTCTCCCAACTAATGATGTGAACTATACAAGGAACCCTTTCATTTGGTACATTTGAGGTTAAAATAAACAACGACACTATTATATTCAATGCTGATATAATAATAATCAGATATAATAATCACACTCAAATAAAAACTTTGTATACAACTCAATTGCACATAAGGTAATTATCATAAAAATGTGTCTTCATGACAGATTTATTAAAACATACATACAGGTGCATCTCAATAAATTAGAATGTCATGGAAAAGTTCATTTATTTCAGTAATTCAACTCAAATTGTGAAACTCGTGTATTAAATAAATTCAATGCACACAG